GTGTGTCCAAGATGTCAAGGCTCCAGTTTACCATTCACTAGGGTGTGACTTCGAAACCTGATAAGTACCTATGTAACCTTTTTCCGAAATAAATGTAGGTACTTTCTAAGTGTATTAAGACTTATACGGTAAAGGTGAACTTCCTGGGGAAACTTTTTTTTAACAAATAATTCCTCTCGTCCAGGATAAGGCGAGAGGGAGTGTCAGACTTACTGCTTCCTTTTCCTGCTCTTAACCTTTATCTTGATGCGCTTGACTTGCAACCCCAGCATCCCAAGGAAACCTGGACTTAAAATTTCTAATTATACGTTTTAAATCGCCAATCCGTCTTGAGTGTGTAACGTTGTGATAATTGTTCTTACCTTTTCAAAATTATACTTCATATTAATTTGATAAAAAAAAATATTCTCCTTGCGGTGTCAGCCCTGACTGTAAGAATTCCTACACAGCTATTGTTTTTGACGTACCAGAACTTTGACGCGTGGTTCGCTGGTACTGCCGAGCCTGGTAAACTGGGTTCCGTTAGCAATTGGTAGCGGAAAACAGTTCCGTACATCTTAAGTATCAAATAAACAAGTTATATGACTTAGGCCTTTTTGTAAGACGGAGGACAATTCGGTAGACCATTCGATAGTTTCCAACTATTAAACACACACATCCCAACTAAAACACTTTATTGAAATGTCAAAAACGATACTAATCTATGAATTTTATAAAAAATCCTCAATAATGTCTAAAATTAAGTATATCTTCAAGCAAATTCATGATAAGTAACTAATTTATTGAAAAGACTTCTCCCGCGTGAATACTCTCAACACTAAGGAGTAACGAGTGGCTTTTTGGGATAGGGGTTTGTGATATTTGAGGATTAGGCCTCCGGTAAACTCACTCACACGGCGGAACAACGTTGTGGTTGCTTCATGCCGGTCTTCATGGCTTTCCTACACTTACATGTGGAGGGGAGGCGGATTTCTCTACTCTATTTCGTCATTCATCACTGCACGGCTAAAACCGTTATCCAACAAGTTTATCAAGCCATCTGTCATTCTTTTTTAAAAAGACCACAGTAAGTAGGTAACAAAGCGACAGTTTTAAAAATCATTTTTACAAACGAAAAAGTGCAAAACCTTATGCATAAGTGTCGTATTCACGGCAAAGTAAAAAAAAGTACAAAACGCGTGTTGCCAGCCCCAAAAACTATTAGAGAATGCGGACGGAAACGACACGCCCACGGAACCCTTTTAAAAAATAATAAAACAGACGCTTTGTTGGGTTCTGTATAGAACTTTTGTTACAATGCGTGTTTTTTAAAAGAACTGCTTTTTTTTAGGTCGACATCTGGCTATGGAACTTGATGTAGAGCGTTATTTCCGCGGGGGTTGCCATTGCAAATATAATTTTTAGAAAAAAAGATTCTTATTAGATTAATATAGGTAGATTAAATACTGTTTTTAATCAAACGAAATGTATTGAAAGCTAGCTGACTCGGCGAACTATGTACCGTCTCAAATATAGCTACCGATTATAATATTTTCTGGTCTTTTAAACTTTCCCTCGACTTTAACGAATATTTTAAGCTTAAAATTATCCAAAATGGACCAGCTGTTCTAGAGTTTTATGAGACTAAAAAAAAGATAACCACTCATTCGAATTAATGAATTAAAAGTTCTATAAGTTTCAAGTTAAAACGAGGCCCTTTTTCGGGTCTAAACTTTGTTTTCCATTAAGAAATCTTAATATGATAATTGGTAATATGATTATGCTAATGCCCAAAAGTGTCTTCTGCACGGCCCCATTCATTTATATTAAGTAATTTAATCCTCAGAATTATTTAAATTTAACTTTATTTAAAAACAACATAGTACACGTACGGACATTTCTAATGAATAAAACCTACTACAATATTTCAGAGTTCTTAGCGGAAAAAGACAATGCATTTTATTTAATAGTTTTGTTATGTGTATTATACAAATTACAACCCGTACCTGCCTGTTTAAATATAGACGGCGTTTAATAACCATCGCTAGTTGGAAGACGTCCACTGCTGAGCAAAGACCAAAATTATATTATGTAAAGGTTTTAAATTATTTTTTATTGAGTAGGGAATGTCGTCATTTGACTTATCTCGCCCTGGGTATAGCAAGAAGGAATGGCAAAATCTTACTGACTAAAAACCCCCGTCCCTTCTCCAAGCGGAGGCCGGCTAAAAGAGTTTTTACATGGCACGGGTTTCCGTACAAACTTTAAGAGTAAAAAATCATGGAAACACTACTCAACTGATTTTAACAAAACTTGGCACGCATGCGTTCAAAACATTCTTTAATTCCTGATTATATTTCTGCATGGAGACTTAAAATTGCCCATTCTTGTCCCTCTTAACTCTTTTTCGAAAATGACCTTCATAGGATTTTAAACCTTAGTACCAAAAATCAGGTCACTAGATTCCACTATTTTTGACTTTAAAGTTCATACTTAATTCCCGTGCGTCGTTTTCTCGGCATCAGAAAAGTAACGCAAAAAAACTAATAAGTTAATAAACAATAAGACGGTTCAATAAAACCGGATTATCCCTAATGACTAAATGTGACTGTTATTTCAATTTTCAGTTAATACTCATGTTAGGCTGTCATTTTTTCAGTGGACATTGCAGAATGTTGTTCAGCGCCCGCGCAATTAATTGTCAACCTTTTAACTTCGGACGACTAGGAGTTTATAATTGGATAAGTTCATTATATTTCGTTGTGGAAACTACATATTATTGACACCGCTTTGAGTGTAGACTTGGGAAAATTTTTATTGGGTGAGGTTCTCAATTTTAGTTTAGTTTACTTTTCATTGAAGAATGCCTGGATGTATTTAGATGGCATGACCTTCAATGTAACTGGAAGGATAGAGCTTATTCCTTCTTTAAGGGTTTTGATCTTGGGCAGCGTTGATTGCTTACCATCAGGAAATTAGCGTCTTTTACCATAAAGAAATGTTTTGGTGACATAAAATAATAAAACATTTGTTACCGTCATTAATATTCCCTGGTCGGAAGACAAGACAAAAAGAGAAAAAACTAAGAGAAAAATTGTGCCTAGCCTTTCATGGATGTAGAGGATTGATGGAGATTTGGCAGAGAAAGCAGTGGAGGCCTTCATTGCAGTACTGAACCCTTACGGACTATTCAAATAATGGACATTCTTGACAGAACTGCTAAAAACTCTATTAATTAGTGTTTACATGTTAACAGTATCTCTTTAACTCTAGTCAAAACAAGAACTTGTACTAAACTTCTTAAAGTCTAAAATATACACGTACATCATCAACCTATAAGTGCTTACTGCTGCGCAAAGGCCTCTTTGTACACGGATAAGGTTTGATCGTTACCCACCACGTTCAATCAAAGCGAAGTACAAAAAATAATTAGAAATTACAAGTCCAAGATTCCTCACGATGTTTCCCTTCAACGTTTGACAGTGGTGTCTGAAGAATTTTGGAATGTTATTATATAACTCGGAAATAGTCACATTGGTATTTGCTAGGTTTCGAACCTACCTCATGTAGGTATGAGAAGCGAAAGTCTATATAACTACCCTATAAAGCTTTGACTAGACAATCTCTACACTTAATAAACTATAACAAACTTAAACTTCACCACAGTATAAAAGAAACAATTAAAACTTAATCATACCGACATTATTAACGTTAATCCACAAGAGAAGACGCCTGAGTATTTCTAAGACCGCCATTTTATTTTCAAGTCTCAACTCGACACGTTTGCCAAACAGATACCTTGTTGTACAGTCTCTAGATGACAAAAACTGAGATATCCTTTGTACAAAGCCGCTGGTGCAAAAACCTCCCCACTACACATCCAGCTGCCAGACAATTCAATAAAGGTACTTTATAATTGGTTGGCGATCGCCACTTTAATTACACAAAACGTTTTTCGTTGAGTTCGATATTCTTTAAAATATAAATATAGGACCGTTAATTTACCTATGTATATTTTTAGTCGGATTTTTCGACTTTAGCTTTGTGAACTTTTTTTTGTACGATTTTTCGAAGTTTCCGAGTTTTGAGGTGTTTTTTTTTGTGGCGTTTCCGAGTTTTCTTTTTGGTTTTAGTCATTTGTAGAGTTGATTTTTATTATACATAGGTATATATGATAGTCGGTCCAGTTTTTAAGAAGATTTAAATTATCTGCAAACACATACACGCCAGGAGTCGTTCCACATAAACTACTGACATTCAATGAAATTAAGATGAAAAATTTAAGTGTTTTTTTTTTCGAATTGGCGGAGATTTGGTCGCTATCATGCATACACGGTAGTAAAAGATAATGCGACCTACGATGGAGCTCGCCTACCCATAAGCAACCTATTCACTCGGGCCTTGAGGAAATACAGATTATATCCTTCGGAGAACACAGACTCCGGCAAAGAAGTCTCCTTAGCGGTTCGGATTGGTGATATACCAACTCGGTTGATACGAACCAAGAGAAAGACAGATTTATTGTGTGTCTCTTTCTAATATTAATTAATAACTTATAGACATATTGTAGGTACCTACTTTAAGCCACCTGATTTAAGAAAACATATCAATACTCCTTTGGGTACTATTTACTCATTTCCTAAGTAAGTAATTTGATGAAAAGAAAAAAAAAACAAAACCCAGAAATTTTCATAAATATGTTTTTTTTTTGCTCGTAAAAATTCTTGATGCCGTCCGTAATGGGCTTTCAAATTCCGTTTTAATTGCCTATAGTGAGTGAGGTTTTTCACGACACAAGCTGCCATTGCGAAGGTTCGAAGACAATTCATCATGGCTCCAATGTATATCAAAAATTATCGTTAACATAACTTGAACACTGTTCGAAAATTTCTTTTTGAAAGGTGGTCCAATTGTTGACCAGAAATACCTATGTAGGTATTTCAAGAATTGACGTTTCGAAATTTGAATTCATTTTTTGTTTATGACTGGTGTGAATTTATGCATTAAAAGACTTGACGTGGCTAAGAGAGAGGCGGCCCGCGTGAGGAAGAGAGAGACGGCCCGCGTGAGGGAGCAATCTTCCTCCTCACGCCCCAGCAGCTGCAACTGGCGACACTACGGGCGTCGGGGATCAAGGGACGATCTCCGGCCACCGTAAGCACGGGCCTGCGGTCGGCGATTAAGGGCAGCTCGCCGCCCGACCAGAACCAGGCCCGAGCGTACGGCGCGTAGCGTTCCGCGCGCGCCTCAAAGAGCCACCACAGACAGTGGTGTACCACCACAGACGGGGCCCTAAAGGGCTGATGTTCAGCCGGGGTTCCGGGGTAAGCGCAATGAGGCACCGCGAAGGAACAGGGGGGTTTTTAGTCAGTAAGAGTCTAACACTCCCTCCTGCCCGGCCCTGGGCGGGAGAAGTAATTTGATAATTTTCCCCTCACAAAAAAAAAACGTGGCTGAGAAACTGCCTGTACTACTCTTTTTGTGATCCACAAATTGTTGTTCCGGGTCTGGGTGTGATGTGTATGTGAATTTGTATATTTTTACGACGACAGGAGAAAATCCTAGTATGGGGCAGTGTTTTAAAAAAAAGAAGAAAGTAATGTCTGGCTTTCGAATGTCGCTCAGATCAGAATTTAGTACCTATTTAATACCTAGTAATACAGATATACTTCTGATGCTTCAAATAAAGAACGGCTCATCACATACATCGCATTTCACATCAATAGCCTATAAGTGCCCACTGCTGAGCAAGGCCTCTTCTCACACGGAGAAGGCTTGAAGATTAATCAAACGGTTGCGGCGGTATCCCAATTTCAAACTTATAATTACAAATTATAAGCCCAGATTTCCTCACGATGTTTTTCTTTTTTTCCTTTGCCTTATGTCAGTGGTGTCCAAATAATCATACAAAGTGCATTACTCGGAAACATCCACATTGATATTTGCCAGGTTTTGAACGGGCCACCGTGGCAAGGTCATCGGTACCAAGTAATGCATGGATCAGAAGACACTACCCATCGTGTCCTAAGTCTTTGAGTTCCGATGGGTTGGGTGGTATGATCGCTATTAGGATGTTAGTGTCCCTAAATCAGGCGATCGCCCTAAGTCCTAAAAGGCCGGCAACGCACTCATAAATCCTTTGGTGTTGCGGGTGTTCATGGTTGGCACCGATTGCTTACCCTCAGGCACGGCGGCTCGTTTACCTTTTCTATGTATGTTTGTTATTTACGGCAGTGCACACACTCTAGGATTTTCTCCTGTGTCGTGGGTGCGTTTACAAACATACAATTTCACGTGCACATGACACGTTTGTGGATCACACATTCCATGCGGGAATCGAACCAGCGACACGTTGCACAGTAGCCAGTTGCCCGGCCACCGCACTAACCGCGCAGTCGAAATTGAAATGTGTAGTATAATTTATACATGTATGCAGGTGATGCCCTGGATTAACAGAATGGTGGAATGTCTTTTTGTGAACAAGGCCATAGGGTCAGTTCACATCAAGACCTGACGTTCTTTGAGAGATCAATTCAAAAACTAACTTTATATCTGAAACAACAAGGTATAAATTTCATGCGGTGTGTCTAGCAGCGGATGCTTCACTGACCTCTTACTATATCGTCTTAAAGCAACGCGTCCTGTCTCAGTGTGAAATGACCCTTACTATGAATGTTTCTAGTCCAGTTCTAAGCTTTCCATGAATCTCCATGCAAAGATTTTTTTTCGGTCATATGCCGAGAAGTTCAGAAGGGAGATGTTTCTTTCAGTATTTTTTTAGATAGCCCTGTTATTCTTGGTCAAGGTCGTTTCTACTCGGTCCCTCAATTAGTAAGTCTACCTTTAAACCGACGTCATGTAAGGAATTAAGTAAATTAACTTTTTTGATAGTGTGAATATTATTTTTGAAATGTTAATGAGCAAGCTGCAATAATGCGCTAAAGGTTAACTTTCCTAACAATGCGTTTTAAAAGAGAAAGAAATTGTGATTTTTATATTGAGACTAGCTTTTGCCCGCGACTTTATTCACGTGAAATAGTGACTTCCTGCAGATTTTTGGTAAAAAAACTATCCTATGTCCTTTCTCGAATTCCAAACTATGTCTGTACCAAATTTAACACAAATAGGTTCAGCAGTTTAGGCGTGAAGAAAAGACAGACAGAGTTACTTTCGCATTTACAATATTAGTTTGGATTGTTCTAAGCTAAAGATTCTTCTAGTATCTTAATTAACCAATATTTTTACTGCTGTATGTATTGATCCTATTTTGTTGTGCTCTACGGGGTCCATTATCGATTCAGCCGGGGTTGCGAGGTAATCGCAATGAGGCACCGCGACCTCGGCCTAGAGCAGGAGAAGGAACAGGGGGGTTTTTAGTCAGTAAGAGCCTGACTCTCCCTCCCGCCCGGTCTTGGCCGAGAGAAGTCATTGGATGATTTTCCCCTCACAAAAAAAGGGTCCATTATTGATCTCACAGAAATTGTTACCACCTTTATATGAACTTATGGTAAAGCAATAAAGATATTGAGTATTGAGTATTTTTACATGATAGATGCTTTATTATATTTTTAGTTAGTTTTATCAATTTATTATATAAGACTTTTAACTTAGTTATGTAGGACTTGTTACTTGTGACTAGAACTATTTCAACATATTCATATTATGACCTTATGATAAACTTACCTATATGGTACCTAGTTCTTACAAAAATCGTTGTACATTCTTATCTGGCACATAGTGGCCAGCCATTGTAAAACAGACCCTAAGATTTATAATGGCTATGCCGCGCCACAAATTTTCAGTTATTACGTAGCAATACTGATTGATAATTAAAAGCTAGATCTGTTCTAAGTAATGTTTTTCTCGAGAAATTTAATCTATTATATAAAAATAGATCGCAAAATGTGTTGGTAAGCGCATAACTCAACAATGCCTGGATCATTTTTGCTAATTATTTTTTTGTTGTGTTTGTTATTGTCAGGAGAAGGTTCTTATCACAGAAAATATAAGAAAAGTAGAGGGGAAGATCAGAAAAAAGTACCGTAGTATAGCGAGCGAAGCGGGGGCAGGCCGCTAGTTTAAAATAATAATAAAATGTAAATTTTAATATAAATTTTGCTAGAAGCAATAAAGAAGTCTTTAAAAACCGCTTCCTTTCTTACTTTGTTAGAACAAAAGACATTGTAATTGTAACATTGTAATTGTAACATCTGTCATAAGTTTCTGTGTGTGTGTGTGTATATGTGTGTTATTAAGGACCAGTTACGGTTTTACGAAAACGTAAAATAAAAACGCAAACTGTATAATATTTTTCTCTTTTTATTTGACAAAAGAAATTAATTCACTTTTTTTTCTTAATTCCGCTTTCCTTATAATACATTGTAGTTATAAAGTAATTATGCTACTTACATTTATATGTATAGTTTATTTTTCTATATATTACAAAAAATATTTACAAAAAATTTAATTTCATCCCGTAAAGACCCATTCTAGAAGTAAAGAATTATTTGTAATAATACAGTCTATTCATATTGCTGTTATTATGCAAAACTAAAATTAATATCAAAACTAAAAAATTAAATACAAACTAAAAAAACAAAAAAAAATGAAAAATAAATTTGAAATAATTATGAAATATGAATAGACTACATTATTTACAGGTAATAAAGAAATTGCAGTAGAAATTAAAGATAATAATATATTTATAGCTTAAAACAAAAATCTTTTTGCATTCAGAACACATAATTTTTGCACAAAACGTAAATAAATACATTTTTTTTTCAACTCAAGTTATTTATTTGTTCTACAAAAAAAAAAAAAATCTTAAAATTAATTTATCACAACAGACTGGTTTTGTGTTCCCGTGAAATTGTTTTTCAAAAAATTTAATTCTAAATAAATAAGAAAATTATTAAAGCTTAATTTACGAATACAATTTTCATATATTATTTTAATATTTATTGGCTACAATCGGCAAGTAACATTTTCATTTTGTTTCATTTTATCTTTTTAAAATGTAAAGCGAATATTGCAACCAATTTATTAATCTTCATTATTATTTTCTATTTCTATTAATTTTAATTTTAGGTGTACTACTATTTCTCGGATAAAATTGTAATAATTGAAAAACGATATTTGTGAATTTTAATAAAACATTTATTATTACTGTAATATCAATATATTTTAATAAATTTGAGTGTCCCGGGAAACTTAAGATTGAAACAATAGAACCAACACATTCATATCTGTCATACGACAAAACTGACAAATAACGTGATTCGTCCGTTTTTAGTGTGTCACGTGATTATCGACCAATCAGGAACGAATGTTTTAGGATAAACTAAAGCTGATTGGTCCATAACTATGCGACTTAGTAGGACGTTAAGTTATTTTTAGGAATACAAGTTTATTGATGGGCCAGAGAATTATTATGGAAAAAAGACAGAAGGCGTTAAAGTAGGGTTTACCTTTTTGATTTGCTACAAAGAATAATGTACTTTTTTTGTCAGTTGGGAGAAGAGAAAGGAATTTAATTCTTTAAATATGTATTGTAATTGTTTGGCCCATCAATAGCTGTCATTATTAACATATTATTACATATACAGTAACCATTATAAACAATTATTCCCTATTTATAATTAATTATAAAAATTTACAATGATTTTCATTTATTTCTATTAAATAATTCTGCTTAAAATTAAAAGTTGGTTGTGCCGATGCTTTCGCGCCAAAATGAGACGCCATTTTGTGGTGGCTGTCATTCTGTCCGCCATTTTATAGTGAATATACACTTACATTTTATATTTTAGTTAGGTTTGTGTGCGAGGGCTGTTAAACTGCTGGCCATACCCTGTTGACAAAAGAGAAAATATATTAATAAAATGTTTTATAACGAAAAAATAAAAACTACTACAACGGCACAAACTAAATATATAACAGCTGTCTCGAATGTCTCCCAACGAAATAAAATATGGCGTTAATTTTTATACGTCACTTTTTATTTTCATTTTCATTGGATATAAATTGTTTTATTGGAAACCTATTTGCAAAGGTAGTTTTTATAGGAAAGATATAGAGGCGGTGAAGTGAACTGAGAAAATATACTTTACGTTAATAATGATTTACGCCTATGTAGGTGCGTTTATAAAGATCACACTTCACACACACACACACACACACACACATAACAACAATTCAAAGTATGTACCAAGAGACATTGAATACTTTAATATGTACATAAATGGAAAATGATATAATTTTCTCTATCCTAAAACCTTCGGAAGCTGCCCAAAAAAGGCTAATTTCATGATGAAAACTTACTGACTAACCCAGGATTGCCATCAGCCTGGTTCTAGAAGGTTTGTGACACGATGATCAAGGGCCACCTCTTGACTCCGGTCACCAACCCGCTTGCCAAGCATGGTGATTCATTCCCCATTTTTGTAGGGGCCTATGTCCAGCAGTGGACTGCGAGAGGCTGTAGAAGAGGACCTCTTAATGAAAAATCATGATTATGGAACTTACGCGAGGAGTTTCTGGAGATTCGGCTGGAAACAGGTGACCCACGCTTTGGTTTGGAAGGTGAAATGAAGAAAGATAGTGGAAAGATGGGAGATTTGCCATAAAATGATATACTGACCTCATTCTCGATGTAAGGACCAACGCAGTACATTCTCTAGATCAGGACTTTATTGTCACGTATTATTATTAAATTGCCTGTGCCTCATAACTGTGATTTTTGGCGTGTTTTTAAAATGGAGATATGTATTTCAACATTGTAGTGGTTGTCAAATATTTCTTGAGACTAAGAAAAAGTAGTGGACTTACGTGTGCAGTTCAGAACTGGGTTTGTACTTGTCTGATATGTTCAGACAGATTTCAAAATCAAGTACGTTCAATATCATAAGCAGTCAAAAACTTGGAGAATCGATAATAAAAAACTGTGTCTTACTTTTTCTTTAAATCTGGCGTCTAAACTCCCGAAATTTCCACTTTAATACTTATAAATATTGGACGTACCAGATTTTTGTAATTGAAAGAAAGAAATGTTGACTTACGTGAGTAATCCAGGGTTGGCATCGGTTTGATACCACGAGTACTGTGGCACGTAGGGCGGATGAGGTTGAGGCGCCCCCTGATGGTGCAATGCGTGGGCGGCGTGCGCGCCTTTCATGTCCCAAGGGCCGGGCGGCGCGCCCTACGACAAAGAAAGGTTATTGTTAGTTTTAGTGTCGTTTGTACAGATTTTTTGATGTTTGAATTTATGGAACTAACCAAATAAAGTGTAACGCGTCTATATGCCTATATCTTCTTATCTTATTTGGGAAATTTTATCTATTACACTATAAAATGTTTTCATTTCATGTGTCTGTTGTTGGATGGGTATTGTCTCTTATGCTTTGTTGTTAGATTGAAACCCGCGTGTGGTATTGATTGCTCTGTTTTAGTCTATCTAACTAAATCTAGTAATCTAGTACACTAAATTAGCTGTGATAAGTTTTTATGAGGATTTATTGGAAGATATTGTGACTATCTCAATGGCTTGGTAGTTAAGCTCGCAGAACACGGTCTCAGGTTCGATTCCCGAGTCAGGCAAGTTGCTAACAAAACACAGTCAGCAGTGTCTCACATAAGCCTATAAGCTTGCTTTAATATGACACTAAATAATAAACACAACGAAGTGTAATAAATTCTCTCTTTATTTAGAAAAAAATACAATAAATTAATAAACAAATATGGACATATGGAGTCGTGGTAAAAGTTTAGTTGAAAATTAATCGACGAAATGCTAGGCGCGGCCGGCACACCCACCGGCCATTATCTAATAAGTTCCATATAGACCTATCTATCTATCCACGTATTTTTTTATAATTTTCACACACGCAACCACAAACACAAACTTGTTTTTTTTCTAATCTTTCTATGGAAAAACGTATCGGAACTTGATGGCAATTAAATAAAAATGTTAATTCGTATTTCACGTAGGTAGGTAGGTATATATAAATACCTACGGACATGTTTTTAGCTTTTTAGTGAAACATAAAAATTTTAAGCGCAATTATGAAATCAAATTCCTATTTTTTGTCAAGTTAATTGTCGAAACAAAGCTTTGTTTAAATTAATATAAATGATGAATGGTGGTAAAAAACTATGTGCATTTGACAAACACGACACGGAATCGAACCCTTACCTTCAGCATCCAAGGCATAGGTCGGCCCCTCATGCCGTCTGCGCCTGGTGATCCTTCAATGTCATCAGATTGAGGCGCGAAATAACCCTCCTACGATAAGAAAAGTAAGCTCCCCTCAAAAATATGTATATCTTTAGGTTACCTAATCTACCAAATAGGTAAAAACAACTAAACTAAAATTTGAAATAATATTTCATTATTTTTAATACAATTATTACATTTAATTTTAATAATATCGCATTCTTATTTATATTACAATTTCAACAAAAAAAAAAACAAAACATATTTAATTCAGTTTATGAATTGACATTTTACTTTCCTAGTTTAAATAAAAAATATCAAAAATTAATGTGTAATTTAGTTTATGAATTATAAGTTTATTTATGAAATAATTTATGACAAAAATGTTATTTAAAAATTAAATGTAATAATTGTAATATTTATGTGAAGGTTTTGAACTTACATATCCGACCCTAGGGTCCCATGATTGTTGATGTGGTGGCTTAACATCGCACGAGCTGCCGTCAGGCGACCGTCCTGCCGTCGGCTAAACAAACAAAGGAAAAAATGGTTAAAGCGCCATTTTTCTTTCACTTAAATTTTTGTTATAATTTTTAACGCATTATAAAGTTTGCTTTTGTGTTTTCCTAGAATTATTTTTTAAGAATACATTACTAAATAAATATTTAAAAGGTTTGTTGAAATGTAATTTAGAGATTGATTTAACTAACTGTAATTTTATTAAAAACTAGTTTAAAAAAATTTGCATAGTTTTTGAAACCTACAATGAAATAGCCAATAGTCTAATATTTTATTATTTTATCTAGAAAAAAAAACAACAAGTTGTTTATTATTATTCTCTCTTACATATCCGACCTTGATATCCCAAGACGGCTGTGGTGGCTGCTTCACATCCCACGGGGTCCCGGTGGGTGACAACCCTGGGGATAGCTCCGATACCGGGGTGGAGCTAGGTGTGGGAGAGTGCGCCTGCGCTGGTCCTCCACTCTGGTACGCTGAGGGGGAGTGTTGAGACCCGCTAGAACTCCCACCGCCTCCTGTTGGAGAAGAAATGAGTTGATTAAGATGAAATATTTTTTATGCTTAGTTTAAGAGTAATGAAAAGTTTTGGGGTAAAAATTGGCAATGTGTGATGATGTAAATGTCACGTATCAAAATTGTCGTGAGGCTTTAAATGAAAAATATATATTCGAAATATGCAATGGGCAGGAACTGTCAGAACTGCTGGGTCTTTTCTATTAAAAAGTTACTGATTACTTTTTTTAAAGTGATATTTCGACATACTGGCGGACGGATTCCCTGACGGTAAGCAATCAGCACCGCCAATGGACGTCCGCGACAATGAAAGACTAACGAGTCCTTTGTCGACCTTTTCTTCATTTGGAAAGTTTACGGTATGGGATATTACTTTAAAAAATCGCATAAATGTGACGATACTCTTTTATCAAGGTTTTGAAGTTGGACATTTATGCCTTTCAAATTAGATTCTATAGACGGGCCGTTAGAACAGAAAGCTGGCTGCCTTATTCTCTTATCTCAAAAAACCTTTTTTTTCTGCTTACCATGTAATAGTTGGTTGTTGTTGGGCGGGCTGCTGGGCGGTAGACCGAGGCTTGGTGGTGGGGCTCCAACCTGTGCAGCTTTCATCATCTTCTTGTATTTGCTGCGACGATTTTGGAACCAAATCTTCACCTGTGGACAATGAAAATAACTTGAATATGGTGACACGGAAAAACTGTGAAAGAAAACATCACGAGGTAACCTGAACTTATTTTTTCTGAATAGAAGTTTGAAAGCGCCTGTCCGTCTTGAGTAAGCATGATGATTAATGGTCAAACCTTATGTGTTTTGAAAAAGATGGTTTTTTTATATATTTTTTTAATTTAATAGGTACAACGACAGACTACAGCCTAAGACAATCAGCACAGTAAACACAACATACAATACATTAATCTGAAGTCCAATTATGACTGTACACAGCATTCACTGTTTAACGTGCTTGAATAAGTGACAATGAACATGAAGTACCCAACAAATAACACCAATATTATTACAATTATGTGCTATATAAGATTATTTATTTTGTTCAGTTTCTTTTTTCCGAGTGAGTGCTAAGTATTCTCAATATAATTCACGTACCTAACTTCTTTTCGTAAGAAAAAGCAAAAAAAAATCTAGGCATGTCTGTTAAAAACTAGTGTTGCAAAAAACGATCAATACTTGAAACAGAAGTTATCGATATCGACAAATAAATTGATCGAGAAAAAATTGCAATGTAATCGCAATGCGCTGACAACCATTTACTTGTATGTATGAATGTGCTTATGTAAATTAATTTTAATTGTACATTCATACATCCATGTTTACATACGCATATACATCATGAATGAATATTAATAAATGTAAAGCTGTATTGTATATTGGAGCATTCTCACTACACAGTATAAAAACAAAGTCGCATTTTCTGTCTCTACATCCATATGGGTTACGGGGTTTTTAATAGACAGAATAATTGATGTTTTATATTTATATAAATAATAATATCCATGAAATAGCGTTGCACCCGTTTAATTTATTGTTTAGATTCATTAAATGTATATAACTGATTTCAGTTTATTTTATGTAAATGAAACTTTGTTGTAATCTAAAGGCTCCAACTAAGTAAAAAGTCATCTTTTACCCTTTTTCTACATGTGAAACCCTTGTAGAAATGAGTATTACCTATTAAAATGACCAAATTACACGTCGTACAGTAGCCATGACGTCAAAATATTGAAGAGAAATCTTCATGATATTACCTATCCTATTGTACTCGATTTTACAAATATGTACCTAAGTACACATAGATATATATACATAGGGTAGGGGTAGCGTGAATAGGGGCAGTACAGTACAGTAACGGCTGACAACCCCGAGTCACCACTCGGGGTTGTCAGCCGTTACTGTACCGTTAAATCTAGGGATGGGACACGTCGATAGATTATTATCGATACTTTTTTATGTTGGCCTAGGTAGTTGCCTGGTCGTGTTTGTGGGAAATTTGTTTTAATATGTAGTCGTTTTGTTTTATAGTTAATAGTTTTATACAATGAATACAGTGTGGACATTTATTACGAAATGTAAATAAACATAATATTGAACACTTTTTTGTTTAAAGGTAGAACAATTATAAGGGCTTTAAGATTCTTAAAAGCGTTGATTAAAGTAGTTTAAGAAATTATTAAAAATACTGGAAAAATTGACCTCCATATAATCGTAAAGTTCATCATCATTGACCAGAGCAGGAGAAGGAACGGGGTGATTTTAAGTCAGTAACTCTTGTCCCACCCAGGGCAGTAGTCATTTGAAGGCCTCTTAAGAATCATAATCTGCCAATCGAATATTTTAAATGTTGAAAACTGGAACTCTTTCTATATACATTAAGTCAGGTTGTTCCTAAACTATCCTGTTTCTTCTCTAGCTCTCTTCTCTTAACCGAGGTCGCAGTACAACCTTAAACCCAGTATAAACAAGTGACTTGCAACTTAAGATGAAGCTATAAAACTTACGTAAGAATAATTATGATTGCTATATGTTATAGTTCATTATAAAGTTAATACATATTACAGGTATGCGACCAGACAAGTTATTTTACTTGATATCGTTACCTATGCGTCAATGACGGGCGACGCGACGCGACGGTGAGGCGCGGGAGCGAATGCGAAAATATATATCAAATTAAATCTTTTTTTTTTAACATATATAGTCCTATATTAGGATTATTTCCTTTACTATAAACGTACAAAACATTAACACACATTACCGTCATCATGAAAGGTGATCACTGCTAAGCAAAGCCTCTTTTGACACACTGAAGTTTGAGCATTAAACGCGACGCTTGCTCAAGGCGTTTGGCGATTTCAAGCTTGTAATTTGGAAATTATAAGTCTAGATTTCCTCTACGCTTTTCCTTCACGGTATGCTAGTGATGTCTAATAAACTTAAAAAGTACATATAACTCGGAAAAAGCCACATTGATATTTGCCAGCATGAGCAGCTGGCGTCTTAACCTCCTGCTTACCATGATATACACATCACACCAAGATAAATTTATGTTGGATTACGCATATAATTTATTTCTTGTGGGAATCAAAAACGCTAAATATTGCGCAACAGACAGTTGCCCATCCTTTACACCAACTGTACAGTCATTCCAGTTGTACCCCACTTTAATTAATGACGGCAAGTTTTAATTACCCGTTTTACTTATTAACTGGTAAAAAGATTGAAGTCCGGAGTGGTTGCAATTGTTTATAATGTTATTAGTTTTATTTATGACGGTGTAGATTGATACACACAACGTTTGTTATCAAAATTAAAGTAGGCCTAGACGAATTCTTGATGCTAAAATATTATCTAAATAAAGCTATGTAGTTTTGACGTAATTTTTTAAATGTACATAAATGAGAAGCTACTGCTGCACGGCTTCATCCGCTACTCAACTCTTATTGGTCGTAGGGTGATGTTTTATAGCATATAGTACTCAGGAACATTGTAGCTATCAAACAGCGAATTTTGGATACGCAACCAGCTTTTCCAAAGTCTACCGTACCTTACGTACAGACTTACTTTGACCTCTTTTTAAAATATTTGTATAGATAAGTAAAATACACTTTTGTTAGTCCGTTGAAGTAATACAGTAATCAGAAATTCGGCCTTTCTTCGCCAAAAGTGACACAGCCGTCGCTCAATTTTATGGTCGATTCGTGTATTAGAGCGACAGCGTATGACACGCAGCGAAAAAAACTGACGCATGCATTATTATTTATGTGTTCATTTTGTATGAGTTATTGTCTCACGTGGACGCGAGCAACGTTTGTAGAAAGCGTATTACCAGTGACGTGAACACATTTAGAATGCATAACATCCTTATCTTTTATCTAAGACAGAAATGAATTGTTAATCAGTTACGTATAAGCCAGTTTTACAGTAAAAAACTTCACTTTATAAGCCCGTTTTTAATGATAAAAATCTAACCGATAACTGTCTTATTCCAAGTATCGTTTGCAATTTAGTTATAGACAAGATTATAAAACAAATTAGTTACCGCCTACTGCAAAACTTATATGGGAACGAGTAGGTGTATAAAGTACTTATTTATTTTATATTTCCAGTTTTATCGATATCGATAAATCGGTTTGTTTCCCATCTCTCACCACCCACCCTTCGATTAGCCAGGTCGAGGTGCACGATATAACTTAACCCCGACGTCGCGCCTAACTTATTGTATTGGTATTCGGCGTTCAATTCACTTAGCCCGCTCGAACAAGGTTATGTTCGATAGAATTATTTATTTTGACATGTTTTATTCGCTTTGGTTATGTATTTTGAAGTTTCACGTTCGATTTGAAGGAATCAAATCGTTTTTGTTGTTTTAAATTGTTTCAAAATGTCATATTGAACGTTCAAATTGATTTCTTACACAGATATTAGGATTTGAAGATTTTATTTTTCAATAGAAAATACAAAAAAATAATCTGTAACGTAACACAGACATTCAATGACAATAACAACTTTTCTCTATAACTTCCATTACTGTATCGAATTATAATATTTATCAGATGGTTAGCGAGTTACGCAGCCTAGAACAGGAGAAGGAACGGAGGTTTTTAGTCAGTAACAGTCTGACACTCTCGACCCTGACGGGAGAAGCCATGAGATGATATTCCCCTGACAAAAAAAGCGAGTTACGCAGCGTTCTTGGGAACTCCATGTAACTCGCTCCAATCAGGAAATAAGGCAACAAAATATCTGATGAAAAAAAAAACACAGACACAACACCAATTTACAAACAACAAAACGAGAGTAGGTATTACGAAATCGCCAAAAACATAACCTAAAAAATGTCGAAATAGAGAGACTCAAGGATTTTATCGAAAAATGGAAAAAAATATCTATCGACAATAGTTTATATGTAGGTACCTATGCATGTTAGGAAATCATTTCGGTCGGCCAACCGTGGAGTATTGTGGTTCGTGACAAAAGGCTGTAGTATAAAATTTTGTCAAATAAATGTTTATTACGTACCTACATAGGTAACCATGGGAAGTTTGGAAACAATTTAATTGGGGAAGAATTTATTTTGGGACAATTTTTTTTCGTGTTGCAACGTCATTTTTTATAATAATGGGAGTATCTGAGGTCATAATGTTTGTCTATATTCATCATTCTAGGATATCCTATTCATCACGTATCTAATTTCAATCAAGTTGGTCCAGTCGTTTATGCGTGTATCACAAACACAATACATCTATACTCTTAGGCAGGATATTAAAAGGATTTACTTACTTAATGATTTTAATAATATATTAATCCCTTAAAAGTAAAGATCACATATTAAAACGAAATGCTAAAACATACTTAGTATAGGAAAAATAATGTAAGACTCGTCGATGTGTCAGCTGTATTAAGAATTTGCCGTCGGAAATGGATTATTGCGGTTTTCAACAGATACTGTTGTGTACCTACGAGGAGTCAGCTGTCATTAGATAACTGTATATAGGTAAAGTCACTAACAGTTATATTAATTAAAAATAAAACATCACAAAACATTCAAACAACCATCGTTAGGGATTCAAAAAGTCAAAAACATTATCAATTCTCAGTTTACAATTTCATGAAAAAGATTGACATGGAAAAAGATTGATAATTCAATGAATTATAATAACTCCGCCCTTTTAACAATTAATGTTTGTATATAACTTTTAATGTTTGTAACATAACGAAATATATGTTAAAAGTTAGTAAAAAATACATCTCTAACTAGCATTTTGGTTGGTTGCGGGGTAAGCGCAATGAGGCACCGCGACCTCGGCCCAGAGCAGGAGAATTAACAGGGGGGTTTTTAGTCAGTAAGAGTCTGACACTCCCTCTTGCCCGGCCCTGGGCAGGAGAAGTCATTTGATGATTTTCCCGGCACAAAAAAAAACTAGCATTTTGCTTGAAAAGTGTTATTTTCTGACAATCTCGTATCTACCTGACTCACTCAAGATACGATGTTAATATTTAGACTTAACACAATTCTTGTGTCTCTTTTCAATTTAATAATATGGACCTTTGTTCTCTGAAGAAAATAAATATGTAATTAAATAAAAAGAAAAAGGAAAAAGGCCTTTGATCAGAACTTCGAAGCCAAGTTGAAAATTAAATATAAAATAACTATCTAAAATAGTATATACTACATTAAAATAGTACAGCAATAAAAACAGTATTCAGCTGCCTTTAATACCTTTGTAGATCGTAAAATGTGAACACGGCACATAAATATACTTGCTAACGTTTCGTTTTGAAAGGTAGCGAATGACATTTCAGATTTTTTTTATTATCATCTTTTATGTCAAAGTAATAGATACTTTTGAGAAAAAAACATATTTTTAGTTTTAAATTTAGTTTTGTTTTTTTATTTATTTTTGAGGCACCGAGTTATAATTTTCAGTGTTTTATTATAGTGCTGTAAGTAATTATTCCAAGCATTTACTTGTAGCGCTTCTTGATGTACCAACACATCGATAAGCTCTTTTTTGAAAACACTAGAAGTTGGTGCTTTTTTCATTGTCAGCCTTCTCACGTTTTTTACAAATAAATCTAAGTAGCATACAAAAAAAAAACATCATATACCTAAAAAAATACAACTCTAACAAATATAAACAACTAAAAGAAAAATAAGTATCGACAATCGATATCCAAAACTGACGAAAACTCCTCACCTCTACCATCTGTCATCTGTCACGTCACGTGAAACTGTCATTGTAATAAAAAAAGAAAACTTCAAAATGGCCGCCGGCATATGCAACCGCAATGTAACATATATTTACTCTTACACGCACGCGTATTGTGATAGGAGAAAATTGTGGGGCATACGAATTCGGAGAAATTATTGTTATTATTGTATGAACAATAATTTGTATTTTTTTTTTTCTTACTAATTTTTGCAAGTGCAACAGTCTACCAACGCTGTAGTTGAATTGAGTTCTTTCTAAGATCAAAAATAAATACAATAAACTCTTTAGTACAATATATTATTTAAATATAATAATCATATTTTTATTCATATTTTTTACGATACACTCGCCTACTCAATTTTAGATTTTTCCTAGCATTTTTTTTAGTAATAACTCTGTGACTTTGTTAAATAAAAGTATTGAATTTGACTATTTGGAAACTACTGAATTAACAGGCGATTTCTTATGTTTAGCGTATGACAATAGGCCTATAAAATGTAACCCTAGATGGAAACAATTTTGTTGCTTAACATGTAACGTGGTCCATGTATGTACCTAGGTTTATTGAAATACATAATTTTCTTAACGAAAAACCTACGTGGTCAGTACCTACAATTTAAAAAGAAACAAAGAATAAAACACAGAACTTCGTGTATAACAATCGTAAAAAATAAAAATAATAAATTATAAATTACACATAATCAATAAATAATACAACTAGTACCTTTATATTATTTTCTTAGTAAAACGTAAAAACGTCGCCATAAATACAATTTATTTATGTTTCTTTTACATTTACATTAATTATTATTTTATTTATTAATAAATAAGTTATCGCATGTGGTTTCGCTTGCGCGGTGTCAAGAAGTTTACAGTCAAGTAGGTTCTGTAGGAAACATTTCCAACATCTGTTTTCACTTTCTAAGCTTTTCTTTTTCTAAGGACCTTTTCATGTAATTTTAGTCTACTTTAAGAGAAGACGTTCTGGATTTTTCTCATTTATATAAAATATAAGTTAGCTTTAAGAGTGGGAGAGCCAATGCTTCGACACGAATGGGCTGTCTTGACCGGCGGCGTCATACCACGGCTAAACAAAACACTGGCGTTAAAAAAACATTTGCGTTGTATTTCGCCGTGTGAATGAGGTTACCCGGTGTCCAATAGATCGCTCGCGATCCCCGATCCCCAAAGCCTAAGTCGAATCTCCAATCCACAAATTCCTAACAACTAACACAAGGCTGACGACGCACTTGAAAATCCTTTTTTGTTGCAGTTGTCCATAGGCAGCGCTCGATTGCTTACC